TAAACTCCACCATGGTATCCACCCATGTCTGTGTTGAAACAAAGTCATTCCCAGAGTGAGATATAGCACACTTATACACCCCACCTTGCTCCAGGAAGCTGTCTGTTTCTGTTCTTCACTCCAGTGTAACTTTACCAGACGCGACCACAGTTCTCCAGCCTAATTTGGTGGTATACGTGTAGCTTGTGAGGTCATTGTTACACTAGGAAATGCACAAAAGTACGACATGCAATGACAAGCTCGGTTTTCCGTTTCTAATTACGTCCCCAATATCATGAGATGAATGATAGTAAGTATAGTACGCAAGATTTTAAGTGGAATTACAAATTAAGTGTACAAGCAAAGTGCGTACATAGTAGCTCATAGCTTAACACAAAAAAGCATACATGGCAAGCAAGAGCCTGGTGTCCCATGACCCCGAGCAGCTCAGTAGGGAGGGTTGGGGCAGTGAGGAGGAGAGTGGTGACAGGGATGTGTGTGTGAGAGGGTGGATAGGAGTTGGTACTTTCCCCGGGTCGGGGAGCTCAGGGCGAGCAGAGAGTCCACCAGAGATAGCAGGAAAGGTGAAGGAGACAAGGACTCTGCATAAAAATTTTCGAACTTAAACACCACATATATAGTATCAGCATAACCACGATGCATGCACAGCAAGGATTATGGTGGTTTGTTCATTTTCTATTTGCTTTTCGTGCATGCCGGGGCAGCTATACTAATAGCATACATAGGCATTAATAGTCCCGTTGCTGGAAGTATACATGCAATGCGCGCATGGTGTTGGCATCACATGGTTTTTTCTACATGGGTTAGTTTCAATCTGTTCGGCCAGAGTCGGAGTCACTATCCCTCATTGGGCTTTATCCTGCAACTGGAAGTGCGTATTTGGGTTGCCACATCTCCCTGGTGGCATGTAAGTTCGCAGTTTACAAAGACAGCAGACGGAAGGCTTAGCCCTGAAACGAGCTTCTTAATAAGTCTGTGTGTTGATATCTTTGTGACGTCCTGGAGGAAGGGAAGTGAGGCTGGAAGTGGACTCGTCAGGTATTTTCAGGTCGGAATACTTGAAAGGTTTTATCGCTGCGGGTCTAAAGTCATGTTTTGAGACCACTCCCTCGACACTCCAATGGCCTGTGCGCTCAATGAGGAGCCCCCCATTGACGGTACAAGTAACTCGTTGCAGCGAGGTATTGGTCTTGTATAAAGATACATACTTCAGCAGACTGACACAGAAGAGACCCAGTCTTGCTCAAAGTTGTGTGACCTAATATGGGCACCTGGAATATAGACGACGTAAGGTGGTTTCTGGCCACAAAGTGCATAAGATGGTCCATCAAGGTATACATTTTGAAGAGCCGTACATACAAAGCACTGAGGGGGTGTTGGACTGGTGAACAACCTTCTGAGTTCATTTTTTACCCCGGATGCCCCCAGGATGGGTGTCCTCTGTATATCCATAAAGTGTTCTCTTTGGCCTCGGCTACAATTTCTTTCTGCTTCAGTTTTTACCCAACCCCTTCCCCTTTCATTCAGTGATTCCCTGAACTCAGGATCTCTGAAAAATCTATCTGTGGATTTCCCACATGTATCATGAGGCCGCAAACCATGTGGTGTAAGGTATTTGGAGGATACATCACAGGAATTTGTTTCCCTGCCTCCAATATGAACAATCATTGGTGTGGGCAGGTGATTAGTGCCAAAAACTAACTCACTCTTGAATTTTGACACTCATGTGTTGACACTGAACTTGCATACATTTGATTATAAACTAGACCTCATTTGACAATGCGATACGTTTGACTCTCTACTGTACACCATTTGATACTCCAATTCTCTACATTTGACACCCGCGTACATGGACTCTCAACTCTTATCTCAAACTTCACACTTTCACTAATACACTCAGATATGCATGCTGTGCCAAAAAGTGGAGGTAATGATAAAATCTGACTCCCATAAAATTCAAGTGTGTGAATTACATAGAGTTTGCACGAGTGCTTTATTGGAGTGCGCATGCATGTCTGAGTAAGTTTCAAATGGTGTATAGTTGAGAGTCAAATGTATCACAGTGTCAAACGAGTCTAGTTTTGTACGCAAATTCAGTGTCAAAGCGTTCAGTTCAGAATCAAAAATGCATGAGTGTCAATATCAAGAGTGAGTTAGTTTTGGCACTAATAACCCGCCATATCATTGAGCTGGTAGGGGTGATAACAGCTGCAGCAGTGGTATCTCAATGCCTGTTGTAGATTTCTTCAGATACTCCTACACTCAGCATTCTCTTTGGGACACCCTTCTCTCGAGCCCTGATGATCTCCTCAGTAGTTTGTGGCAGTGGTCTGGTGCTAGTGAGTGAGGGGCTTGAGCGTGACAGGAGTTCAACGAGACTGTAACCTTTTTTTTGCAACGGCCTTTGCGCATGCTCTAAAGTAGGTAAGCAGCCATTCCAACTATGCGATATAGAAGGCCCCAGGCCCTCCTTACTAACTACAGCTCAGGGCCCTCGGCCTTCCAAATCACGTAGGCATTTCATGGACTTTCTGTACAACTACAGCTGCAGGCAGAACAACTATAACTCACTCCAGACATTAATACTGCGAGCACAAGTCAGAAAGAGAGAAGTGACACCTTGCAATTACATAAATTCGGGCAATGTGCACAAGACAGTTGTTTAAGCACTGTTTGTATACAGTTCACTAAAATCATTTTTGCAGGTATGCAATACAAACATAACTGCACCAACCTGTCTTTTGAAGTCGCTGACATATTCCTATGACATTCTCAAACATGAGTTTGCACTGGTGACGAATTCCCTAGAAACCAACCAAAACAACATAAATCTAGCACACAAAGATAGAGAAAAGGGAGCTGTGTAATCACCCAAGCTTTGGTCCAGATGCGCAATATGATGTGAGATTATAAGCAAAGCGACCTGGCCCAGCTAAAGTAGGCATGCAGCAAGTATATTATGCGATGTCCGCAAACTCACCTCTGCACATTACACACTTCAGTTTCCATAGGATAAGCAGCAGAATCCTTTTCAGGAGTTTATGACTGCAGCGGCAACCGTGCTCGTAAGTGGCAGAGACGGAGTTGCTACGCCAGACACTGAACCTGCCACAACCATTCGCTGTACATCCTACAACTATGCACAACTACGCAACCATAAACTACAAAGGTGGGCTGCAATAGCGTGTGTTTGCTACATGTATAACATTATGGATTGAGGTGACTAAGGGACCAGTTTAGGGACGTATGTAGGGATGATGAATGGAGTTTAATTTGATTAATGTATCGGAAAAGAACACTTACATCTACGGGGTCCTCCCACAACGTCCACACTTTTTTCAGTACCAGATTAATTGACGGACCTGATGGCAGGAGGGCCTCGTAGATATTATTCCCCTCACAAATGTCACTAGCACACTGCCTAGAAGGAACAATTTTATCAGCATTTATACACACATTTGCATAACATATAACTTACTTAGCCATTGTAGTCCACAGGGCCAAAGTACGGGCAGCAATATATCGATCGCTGGTTTCTGTGAAGCTGTGATAAAACATCACCATAGGAATTGAAAAAATCTGTACGTTTATACAACATACCCATCAAACAAGTGGCAGATTTTGGGAAAGAGTTTTAAAAGGCATGGTTTTCCCCCTGCATCACCAAACAGAGCAGAGAGTGGCAGTTTGGCTAGTAGTGCATGGCACACAGCCAGCTGTGAGAAGTCCTTCAGGGGAGACCCTGTAGTTCTAAGCCAATCAGATGTGATGTCAGTGACAACTGCACTACGATCTTCAGAGCTAGTTCTTGTTCTAAGGATGATCACCACCAACACCATAGCTGCTGTTAGACAAAGGTCATGTGGTACTCCGACTCCTGCAGAAACAATGCATTGTAGTGACATAACACATAAAAGATCCTAACAGTAGTCAATACTAGAACAAATGTAACCAAATTTTGGTAAGCAAACGTGTGAGTCACACACATGCAATATGCTATTCAATTCTGCTGCAAGTATTTAACTGTATGTGTAACAGCACGTGCTGGTGAATAGATTAATGGTGACAAGTAGGCCCACTTTCACTTACCGAGCATATACTGAGTGAGGGTTTTATGTAGAAAAATAAGAGCTCACTGGAGTGTGTGCCTCATAAATGATCGCAGAAGATAAATTCAGAAAATACACAAAAGTTATTTTCAGTATTAAAACACCCCTCAGCAAAAACAGATGCATCCACAAAACAGTGAAAAGATTATTTAATGGTATATACAATGACCAAATTATCAACTCTGTGATAGTGCGCATGCATAAACACCATTTACAGAGGTTCAAATTCTCTGCTCGATGCGTCATTAACCCTCGGCGCGCATGCGCAGCGAGGGTTACGGTAGTTGGGTCTATGTGTCTGTTACTCTCAATCTCACCTCTCGAATGTCTGTTCGTCTCACAAACTCAACGGGCAATGAAGGTCAGAATTTTCGAATGATTTTTTCTGAAAATGCTTCCTTGCAAAGCTAGAGCGCTTCCGCCATTGTACGGCAAATACTAGTCGGCCATTTTTATCACTGCGGAAAATGCGCATGCGGTTATAATGCTAATTAGCACCTCGACCGCGACCGGGCCGCTTGCTCTGTGTATCTTGAAGGCATAAGAAGTCACAACGCAAGGGCGTGTATCGACTCCCGCATGCTATTTACTACTGTAGCTAGTCCGCGTCAGACTCTCCGCGAGCTACTAGCGTGGATACCACGAGTAAATGCATACTAAAAGCCCAGCCCATCAATTAGTGGTATCGCGCGTGCGCGGTTCGCCGAGGGTTTGAACTTCAGTGCTTTTCATTTGAGTAATTGTTGCACACACACCTCAGTGTCTACAAGTATTAACATACTGGTTTTAAGAAGAGTTTCAAGTAATAACTGACCAGTCTTGAGAAGAGCTTCACACAAGTTACTTGTTCTTGCCAATAATCCACCAAACCACTGCACCCTCAACTCCGCACTCCAAGATCTTTGCTCCGGTGCCCAAGACACCACAGCCTCGGTGGTACTAGAAGGGAACTGGAAGGAGAACTCTCCAGAGAGAAGACCACACACCAGGGACTGAGTCTTGTGTAGGATGGTCATGATTGTTTTCAGCGCAGTAGTAAACAGTGGGTCTGTGAGCCTATATGGTAAAACTCCAGTGTTAGGCACAAATATCACAACGTGCAGGTAAGGTTGTGTCTGTTCATTTTCTCAATAGCAATAATAATACTTGGGCATGAACAAGCACAAACTTTATAGCGGATTGCTCGCCTAGCTTTACAAATGGTCCAGCCCACAAACTTTACAAGCACAAGGAGGGGCAGCTTTCCCATACAGATATATATATACAATGAAAAAAACGTAATGATTATTATATACATTCACTTAGTAATTGATCATTATTGTGCTCAAAGTTGCATGTGCTGAAATAATGAAAAGCACTGAAGTGCACACCCTCGGCAAACTGCGCATTCGCGATACCACTAATTGATGGGCTGGGCTATTTACTTGTGGTCTCCCGCTAGTAGCTCACAGAGAGTCAGACACGGGCTAGCTAGCTACAGCTAGTAGATAGCACACAGGAGTCGATACACACCATTCGTTGTGACTTTTTGTAACTTGGGTACAGAGAGCAAGTGGACCCAGTCGAGGTAAGCCTGTGCTAATTTGCATATTGGCTTGTTCACTAGCATTTCACACCATCAGTTATGAACGCAGTACGTATTTATATGAAATAACTTTTTTCAAAAAATGAAACAAGTGTAGCAATGAACCCGTTGGTGTCGCTGTTTTGTTAGCGTAGTCACAAAAAATGTGGTAAAAAGACAAACAGACAGACGGACAGACACACTCACACACCAAGTACCGTAACCCTCGCTGCGCGTCGAGAGTTACGACTCCATAACAAGCTCAAGTACAATTTGAAAGCACATTCATTCAAATATCTCAGCACTGTTATGAGGTCCTAAATTGGTACACATCAATACCACCAATTCAAGATGGCACTGATGAAAACTTACCCGTTGTGACTGTAGCAAACCTCTATTACAGACACACAATACTTCACAACTGCAAGGGACCAAGACACAGCCATAAACCCTAGGAGCTACCACTATAGAAACTGACCCAGAGGCAACTGCTTCCAGAGGGCTAATTCTCCGAGGGGAAAGTTCTCCCCCAGGGCCTCAAGGTACTGCAGGCAGTGGGTGTCGCTGGCCAGCCAGCCTCCAGCCAGTGCTGCATCAATAGTAGAGTGAATATGATCCACTACTGTCCCTCCGTAGGGATCTGGTAGACCCTGTAGTAAACTGAACAGAAAAAAATGCGTACTGTAAGACATGGCTGGCTGTTTCGCTTATTTTCACGCAATGTCTCTCCAACGCAGGAAAATCGCCTTTCGATTTTGTATATAGTTCATCTGACCCCCAGAAGAGGAAAGACTAACACTTTAAAATTCTGCAATCAGTGGCAAGATGACAATAACAGCTGACCTTGCAATAGCTCGTTGGAGTGGGTGTCTTGAGAGACAGACGGCATGCATCTCGACCAGGACTAGCAGGAAGGGTCCGCTGAGGGAGCCAGATCCTGCCAACTGACTTACACTGACCACCAACTATTAACAGAAAATATAGAGTAGTAAAAAGTGGCCTACACCTATATCAACAGCAACTCGGCATCACTTGTATAACCAGATTACACAGAACGGTCAGGCACCGAAGAGTGCAGTGAATGCCGCTGACTCTCGCTGGCTAGATCACGCCCCCCCCCCGGTCACTAATTACTAGGTTAGCAGTGAAGATTCATCTGATTTCATTCCTGGGGCCTGTCTGCATCTTTCCTATTCACATGACTGCACATGAAAGTGAATGCGGCAGTATATAAGGACTAAATTTATAAATGTTACTAAAAACGGTCTTTCACTGTGTCCCTATTGTTTTGTTCCATCTTTAGTAACATTTCTAAATTTAGCCCTTATATACTGCCACATTCCCTTTAATATTCGACAATATTGCGATGGTATTGATTATTATTAACCCTTGGTGCGCATGCGCAGCGAGGGTTATTGTACTCGGTTTGTAAGTGTGTCTGTCTGTCTGTCTGTCCGTCTTTCTGTCTGTTACCACATTTTCTGCCACCACACGCAACGAGACAACAAAATAGCGATACCAACGGGTTCATCGCTACACTGGCTTCATTTTAAAGAAAGCGATTTTCGTATAACTACTGCATTCAAAAGTTATGGCGTGAAAAGCAAGTGAACAAGCCAATATGCAAATTAGTACAGGCTTACCTCGACCGGGTCCGCTTGCTCTGTGTATCTTTAAGGCACAAGACGAAGGGCGTGTATTGACTCCAGGATGCTATCTACATACTAGTCCGTGTCAGACTCTCCGCGAGCTACTAGCGTGGAGACCACGAGTATACGCATACTAAAAGCCCAGCCCATCAATTACTGGTACTGCGCGTGCGCAGTTCGCCAAGGGTTTGCTCTTTACCATTTTTTAGACAGCACAGCTGAAATGCTCATGATTCATTTTGGTATTGTTTTTGACAAACTTATTATATATTAATCCTCCATACATTCTCTATGAGAAAGAAAACCAGCACACGATATCACCAGAAGGTAACGGGTTTTTTGCTCTCGAAAAATGCACGAATATTGTGTAAAGTTCGCAGAACGAGTTCGAAATGAAAAGGCACAAAAGTGCAAACCGGTGCACTAGAAACGCGAGCGCGTAAGTATACACATGCATGGTACCGCCAATCGATGGGCTGTATATTTTACTACACTCAGGGTCTCTTGCCAGCTTGCCTCAGAGTCTGTCACTGGCTAGCTATATATGTTAGGCGCAAAGTTGAGATGCGGATCATCCTGGGACAAACCTCGGATCCCAGCTTTGCGGAACAAATCCTACGATCACATTCCACCTCCGCGAACCTCGGATTGTTCTTGAGCAAACCTAGGCCCACGTGAAAAGCGGGTCTCTCGCTCTATAAAAATACGCTCCCTTCGTTCTTTGTCGTCTGTGCGCACTTATCAGTGCAGCGACGGAGCGAAGAGACGACTACATCGGTCATACGAACGACTATTTTCATGGGGAGAGACGACATACTGCAATTACAACGAAAAGCACTAAAGTGCAAACCCTCAGCGAACTGCGCATGCGCGGGCGGTACCACTAATTGATGGACTGGGCTATTAGTATGCGTTTACTCATGGTCTCCCGCTAGTAGCTAACGGAGAGTCTGACATGGGCTAGCTACAGTAGTAGTGTAGCATGCGGGAGTCGAATCACACCCTTCGTTGTGACTTCTTGTGCCTTCAAGATACACAGAGCAAGTGGACCCGGTCGAGGTAAGCCTGTGCTAATTAGCATATTGGCTTGTTCACTTGGTTTTCATGCCATAACTTTATAACACAGTATTTTTACGAAAATCGCCAGTTTTAAAATCAAGCAAGTGTAGCACGGAACCCGTTGGTGTCGCTTTTTGGCCGGTTTGTTGCGCATGGTGGCAGAAAACGTGGTAACAGACACACACACAGACAGACAGACACACAGACCAAGTACTGTAACCCTTGCTGCGCATGCGCACCGAGGGTTAACTACAACGCTATACACAACAGGCTGGGCCTTTGCGAGGCAAGCCCCCATCTACGAGGTTTGTCCTGCGCAAAGCGAGGATGGCAGCTAAACAGCGTGCGAAAATAGCGCAAAAGGCCAAGCTGCGATCCTAGCGCTGCTGTGGGGATATAACGAAATTCGCATGAAATCAAGCCGGTATAGCACTGAACCTTCTGGTACAGTGAGTCCCGGTTAATATCATACTCTGCGCGAAAGGCGTTTTTATTCTATAAAGCGGGATATTCTAGAACGCGGAGCGGAAGTATTATGAGTGATTACGCAACTCCACAAAAGGTCAAGGTCATCATTACATCATCGTATATACAAAGTAACACATTGAAATAACAAACACTTAGGATCCACTTTTCAGTACTTAAGGAGGTAGCTACAGTTCAGTATTCGGGAGAGGGGAGGGAAAAGAAGTCTCTTATGGAGGTCTGAGTGCTGGTTGTAGCAAATAACTGCAGTAGCTGCCTTTCCAGTGTATAAAACTGCTCCAAATCAGCCCCAGATTTCTCAAGGAAATAACGTAGCATCTGCATGGCCTGCATAGCCTCCCCACGCTTAGGAGTTGGTGATGCTGAAGCTGAGGTCTCATCATCATCACTATCATGGTGTGATGTCTCACCATGATCATTCTTCTGTAAGATCTGGGTGCAGATATCCTCCTCTGTAAGTTGACCATGGCATTCAAGTGATATGTCTAAGTCAACATAGGTTTGAAATTCACTTCCAGTGGGAGGATTCAATGCCTCTTCTTCTACAGGAGTGATTTGAGCAATAAACCCAGCCTTAGCAAAGCAATTTGTAATAGAATGTGGTTTTACATCACTCCATGCAACCTTCAGCATGTGCATGGCATCAAGCATGTTCACCTGACGAGAGAGTTGAGTAACGGTGATCGAGGCTTCACCATCTAGATGTGACACAATTCTAGAAATCATGCTCTTTCGATAAAGTGCTTTTAAATTACGAATTATCCCCATGTCACAGGGCTGTATCAAAGACGTGACATTAGGAGGAAGAAAATAGACAGCAACATCTGTAAGCTCAACACCACAATCTTTTGGGTGTGCAGAGCAATTATCAACCAAAAGTGCAATATGGCGATCCTGTTTTACGATATCTCGGTTAACTCGATCAGCCACTTGCGAAATATGTTGGATGTCATCCACGCACTTGGATTACTAGTGTAGGGAGTAGGCAGTGTAGGTATTCCTCTGAAACAACGAGGCTGGTTACTCTTTCCTATGACAAGTAACGGCCGTTTGTCACTACCGTCCATATTCACACACACCCACACCAAAACGGTTACCCTATCTTTGGCCTTTTTACACCCATAAAGCTTATCAGTCGAAAAACAAAGAGTACCATCAGGTACAGCGCGAAAGTATATACCCGTTTCATCTGCATTGTAGATGTCACGCGGCGAGTACTCACGAAGCAACTCGGCTAGAACGGTGCTTGTCCAGGTATCGGCGGCCACAAAATCTGCGTCTTTCTTCTCTCCGTGGGCTTTTTAAATTTAATGCCATGCCTGGTCTTCCACCGGCAAAGCCACCCATTCGTAGCCTTAAAATCTTTCTCGAGTACCGAAGCGAAGTGGTTTGCCTTTTCCCCGAGGATTGCGGAAGTAATGGGAGCGTCCCGTGCTCTAGCGTCGACAAACCAGGTATAGAGCGCGGCATCTACATCATCGTCTTTACTGGCTCTCTTCCGCTTACGAGTAGCAAACTTGTTTTCCTCTGCCTCCTTCAATATTGCATCTTTCGATTTGCCAATCTTAGATATTGTAGATTGAGCACAACTAAAACGCTTAGCCAATTCAGCTTGGAAAGGTCGCTCTCTTTCCATAACAGAGACTATTTCCAGCTTTTGACCAAGCGTCAAATCCGTCCTGCGTCGCTTGCTGGTCGCCATTTTGACAAAACTGCACGTGGCCTTCAAGCTTACTGCGCATGCGCAGTATTCTATAAAGCGGTATGGAGCCCAAGTGGCCATTCACAATAGGCGGCATATGATATTATTGGGTATTACAATATGCGGGGTGAAATGTATACATTACATACGTAAATGGTTTGGGATTTCAATTTTCTATTATAATAAACGATATATTCTAGTAAAAGGGATGATATTAAGTGGGACCCACTGTATCACTCTTTTGTTGTCTTGTTGCACGTGGTGGCAGACAACGTGGTAAAAGATAGGCACACACACATGCATGCCGAGGTTTAAATATGAGCGCTTACTCTGTGCTATCAAAAGTTACATTTACATCGACGGCAAAAAAAAAATTATTATCTCATGGGCATAAACAATCCCCACTTAACATTAGGGCCATGTGTACTTAGGTTTAAGTATCTTTACTGCCTACGACTCCTTTTGGGTCACTGCCTTTCACCTTCACAGCAATAACCAAGTATACCCCACAGTATGTACCTTCTTCAGACAAGAAAACTGAGCATGTGCCGTTTTTCCACCCCAAACATCCATCAACAAACCTACAACTGCAAAACATAATATACCATGCATTTCAGGGCATTTACTAAATGTGCAGGTATAAAATCACTTGGCCTCGTTCCCAGGCCTTCCACGAGAGAGAGAAGGCCTGGTACACACTGTTCGCACATGCACTGAATATTCCCAACATTCCAAGAATTCCGTCTCGCATTCGGATTTCTCCGTGTCCTTGATGTCACCAGTTGGATTCTTCCCGCTACATGGTTAGTTCTAATCGTCTGACTCGCAGAGCTGAGGCAGCAGTATGGCGCTACCTGAAACGCGCAGGCCTCACAACTGCTAGACTGAATTGTCGGACATGCCCATATTTTTCTGTGATGTATTCCGCGCATGCGCGAACAGTATGTATATACTATACCAGGCCTTCTTTCTCTCGCAGAAGGTCTGGAACGAGGCTAATAATCACTCTTCCACAATCAGATTTTCTTCTAAGGAACGTACCCTCTCTTATTACATGCACAAACCAGCATGTAACCCAGACCAAACTACCAGTAACGTGGGTGACCCTACGCGCTAAATGGGAATACACAGTGCGGGTCTTGGTATATACCCTAGGGGGTTAAGCAACCGGATTTACTTGGGTTGGGGGAAGTGTTCGAACGCAGAGAGGGACCACTTTACCTTGCTGCTCTTTAGCGTGTTTCATCCATTTCTCGACATGCTGCTGGTGGAATGGCTGCAGCATGGTTGTTTTGCCACCTCGCCGAGAGCCTGGCCTCCACATAATTATCTCGATATAACTACTGCGGAGCCACTGGCACATGTGTCGTTTCTGGACGCCTCCTCGATCAAACATGCCGCGCCGCAGCCCGATGTGCGAACGGCGCACAGCGCATGTGCAGTACCGCTAATTGATGGGTTGGGCCAAGAGTATGCGTTTTACAGCGAAGAGTCTGACACGGGCTAGCTACAGTAGTAGATAGCATGTTGGAGTCGATACACGCCCTTAATTAGATGTGAGTTCTTGTGCCTCCAAGGAACACAGAGCGAGCGGATCAGGTCGAGATAAGGCAGCGCGATTATGCTTTTCGCTTGCTTTCACGGCATATCTCTCGAACGCAGTCGTTTCAGGAAAATCGTTTTCACGCATTTATAGTTCTGAAGCCGTTGATTTCGGGTATAGGCCGCCTCATAGCCAGTGGTGCCGAATAAGCGTCGACACACACACACAGACAGACAGACAGACGCATGCGCGCCGAGGGTAAATGGATGGTGACTGTATAATTATACAACTAACACACACTAAAAAGAAAAAGGGATGGCACGCAATGATGATGAGTAACAGTTCCAATGTTACCACAATCCTTCATACATACATTAGCTATGTCACACACGCTACAGTGATTGTTTTAGCTGCTCACTTTCAATTCAACAAACGTCCGTAGCCTTGTCGGTTCGGTAAAGTTGTCATTATCTTCAGCTGCATTCTTAGCCAAACTTGAGAAACTAATTTCCAAGGCTTTACTAGAAGAATCACAATTGTAGGTTGGTACATGACAAGAAAGACAATCAAGATAAAGTTAAATAACATTAAACTCTTTCTTTTTAAAGGTGAGTTATTGATGCTTTGAGGTAAGAAAGCTAGTGTAGCAAATGTTAGCATAACCAAACAGAATACTTCAATGAAATTGTGAGTCTGCCTTTTGTAAGGTTGAGCCAGTGCCGTGATAGCTGTAAAACAAAGAACGATGATTGAAGTAGATGCATAGCTGCCAACCTGATAAGCGAACATAAGAGAAATATACACCACGACTCTAAACAGAAGGTGAATTGCTGAGAAAGAGCGAAAATCACGAGTGCCATTTGTACCATTCTTTAAGTGTCCCTGGAAAGAGTCCATGAAGATGTGTAGGGACTGGCAACTGAGGCCTGTGCGGTTGAGACAGACCTGGAAACAGGAGCAGGGGTAGAGGAACAGGAGGGCCATTGGCAGGAGTGTGAAGGTGAGGAGAAAGAAGAGGGCCAGACAGGCATAGGGCAGGTGCTGGCTGCTGAAGTAGGCTACGTCTCCCTGGTTGAAGAGGTATAGCTGAGTTAGTGGCGTGCCATTTTGGTGATATACAACTAGAGGCATGAGGAGGTCCACAGACACACTGAGAATTTTGATGTAAGAGAGGAGGAGAAAGGTTGCAAAGGCATCCACTAATGAGGTTCTGATGTTCCACTGTCTGCGAAACCTGATGAAGAAGAACACAAAAGGTTTGCAGATGAAGACCACAAGACGAACATTGTGATCATAGAGCAGGACCAGAAGGTAGGAGAGACCAATCAGTAGGAGAGGGTAGACAGCAATAAGGTAGTCCAGAGCCAAGACTTGGAGTGTGTTGGTGTGAGGATGGAAACAGAACGTAGTGTACCACACACGAAAAAAGTCTAGGTTCCATATCCCAACAACTGACATTGAAATATCAACGCCTAATGCATACTTTTTGTCCAGGTTAACACTGTATATGAGCCTCATAATGGGAGGACAGAATACTATTTGGACAAACATGACATATCCATGAAGCACAGGAGAAGTGGCACTGATTCTAAAGGTGACAACAAAAGCGAAGAAGGCAGTGAGTGGGAGAAGAGAGACCGCAGTGTACTTGCCCCAGTTGCTAGTGGTACAGTTGACACAGGAGAGAGAGTAGGAATAGACTGGTGGGGCATAGCCTGGCTTACACTGACCGCACATCTGACCCTCTCTTCCATATGTCCCACACATCATATGATTTACATACGACTCATTGTCAGTTCTAACAGTGTAGTAAAGACCACTTCTTTCTTTGATGCAAGAATATTGACAAGAGCCGAACGAATAGCTTGTCGTATAGGTCATACAAAAACACTTAGGAAGTTCCACATAGTATTGACCATCGTAGCAATAGATAAAGTCCGGCATTTGGTGGTGAATACAAACACAGTTTCCAGTGGTATTTTTTCTCTCTTGCCAGACTGGGCAAGACCTATTGATCATGATGTCAGTAGCAGCAAAAAACAGCTCTCCACACACAGAAGACGAGCAAAAAACAAGTACGACAACGATAAAAATATTCATCTTTCTCACTATCTCAGCAAGTCTATATAATATACACACTATTCTGCAACGGTGCTTCTGGCTTTTTCAGTTGTGTGCACATTTGAAGTAAAAAAGCATTACAGACAGAACAACAATGGAGGTCATACCAGTGTTTGGATAAGGGTTTCGAAACAGAAAGCATTGTACCAAAACCAGCAATGTTGTTATTTCACTATACAATCTACTATTTTCACTTCTGCAGTATGTGATATACAGTTACCAAAATTAATTACTGGATAGTTTTTTGCAGAAATATTTATCGGCAGGGATACCAGCATATTCCCTCATGTACTGATCGATGAATGCAGGACACCACTACTAATGAATCCCACTGAAGAAAATATTCTAACTACATTCTCAATCTGCTCCAAACAATTTCTTGCCTCTATGGTGTGCTTAAAAGGTAAAAATGCTTGTGGTAAGCGGTGTAGTTGAAAATCAGTAGTAACACACGAACACCTAGCCGCAGACAAGAAATCTCACTGCGCATGCACGTCGATTTGCCCAAGAACAGCATCGTGTGCCCGGCCCGCCTCTCTAGCTATATAGCTCTTTCGCGCGGGAGCACGTGAGGGTCTGGGCGCGAGAGAGCTCTAGATATAGAGAGCTAGACTAGGTTCGCGCGCGCGCACGCGCGTCGGGTCGACACGGTCACGTGAATCGTATATACAAGAATATCCAATTAGCTTGCGTCTAGCTGACCGACGATGCTCGACCTATGCTTAGTTTGTCGACAACACAGACGGAGAATTCGCTTGAAACCACACACAGAGTTGTAACAAGGATCAAACTTAGGTACTGTGCATTTAGCTTGGCTCTAGGGCTCACGCTGTGAGTGTGACGTAGTCTTCACTATAACTTACCCAGCGGTAGGATTTCAGTATCTTTCTTAAATATTACATCGAGTCAGTTGCAAATTATCTCCGAATCCCGCTTCGTTTTCTACAACACGCTCTTTTATTGGCGAGCGGGAGCGAGCTAACCTAGTGGTACGAACGGCGCGGGATTTTCCTCATAATTGCCGAGCGGGAGCGAGCCAACCTAGTCTTTCTTTCGAGCGGAATTTTTCTCACCGGTCGTACGTCGTGTAAGTGCGCATGCGCGGCTTTGTACGCGCTTCTTTTTATCCGAAATTATTTCCAAAATTCCAAATTTTACACATTTTCACACACGGTGCCGATCGATCTAGCCGGTGAGAGAACAGAACTCTCCTCCATTCGACGGCATTTGCTGCATGCAACCTTCGGTGACTGACCGAGGCTGTACCTCTTCATGGTTCCAAGCTGCAACTTGCAAATACGCTAGGATTGACAATACGCATGTAACGGCGACAGGTAGATCTGTCTTGCTTCACGAAAGGAAAGCTGTGCGCTGACGGCACGTTATGCAGCCAGAACATCGCGGGCAAATCCCAAGTTGGGTCGCTCCCGCTCGCCAACAATGTTCAACGTTTCCACTAGTCATTAGTGGAAATGTTGAACATTGTTGGCGAGCGGGAGCGACCCAACTTGGGATTTGTCCGCGATGTTCGGGCTGCATAACGTGCCGTCGGCGCACAGCTTTCCTTTCGTGAAGCAAGACAGATCTACCTGTCGCCGTTACATGCGTATTGTATATTGCCAGAACGGTGAGCAGGTGAGCAGAACGGTCCTTACCTCACGCTTTCAGCTTGTCTGTCGTGGTCCACCAGGCAGCTGGCATGGCAGTAGGCTAGGCAGCGATCGATCGGGCTGCCCGACAACATCCATCAGGTAGCTGGCATGCAGCAGTATGTGCACGAGCAATGCTAGCGTATTTGCAGTTTGGAACCATGAAGACTGGAAAGAGGTACAGCCTCGGTCAGTCACCGAAGGTTGCAGAGCATGCCGTCGAATAGAGGAGAGTTCTCTGGCTGGCTAGATCGATCAGCGCATATCGCGAGGCATGTGTGTGAAAATGTGTAAAAGGTTGGAAATAATTTCGGATAAAAAGAAGCGCGTACAATGCCGCGCATGCGCACTTATACGACGTATGAACGCATACACAGAAAATTCCGCTCGAACGACGGGTTGGCTCGCTCCCGCTCGCCAAATATTACTAGTGGAAATGTTGAACATTGTTGGCGAGCGGGAGCGACCCAACTTGGGATTTGACCGCGATGTTCGGGCTGCATAACGTGCCGTCAGCGCACAGCTTTCTTTTCGCGAAGCAAGACAGATCTACCTGTCGCCGTTACATGCGTACTGTATATTGCCAGAACGGTGAGCAGGTCAGCAGAACGGTACTTACCTTACGCTTTCAGCTCGGTCCACCTGGCAACTGGCATGCAGCAGTTTGTGCACGAGCAATCCTAGCGTATTATGCAAGTTGCACCTTGGAACCATGAAGATTGGGAAGAGGTATATACAGTCACCGTCCGTCGAATGGAGGAGAGTTGAAATAATTTCGGATAAAAAGAAGCGCGTACAAATACGCGCATGCGCACTTACACGATGTACGAACGCATATATATATATATATACACAGAAAATTCCGCTCGAACGAACGACTAGGTTGGTTCGCTCCCGCTCTCGCCAAATATATATGCGTTCGTACGTCGTGTAAGTGCGCATGCGCGGCTTTGTACGCGCTTCTTTTTATCCGAAACTATTTCCAAATTGTTACACATTTTCACACACGGTGCCTCGCCGATCGATCTAGCCAGCTAGAGAACTCTCCTCTCCATCGACGGCATGCGCTGTACCTTGGGTGACTGACCGAGGCTGTACCTCTTCCCAATCTTCATGGTTCCAAGGTGCAACTTGCAAATAGTATAATACGCTAGGATTGCTCCTGCACATACTGCTGCATGCCAGTTGCCTGGTGTATATACCACGACGCCTGACCAGCTGAAAGCGTAAGGTCGGTATATACCGTTCTGCTCACCTGCTCACCGTTCTGGCAATATACAGTACGCATGTAACGGCGACAGGTAGATCTGTCTTGCTTCACGAAAGGAAAGCTGTGCGCTGACGGCACGTTATGCAGCAAGAACATCGCGGGCAAATCCCAAGTTGGGTCGCTCCCGCTCGCCAACAATGTTTAACATTTCCACTAGCATATAAATACACAGAAAATTACGCTCGAACGAACGACTAGGTTGGCTCGCTCCCGCTCGCCAATTATATCTAGCTAGCTACGACCGTACGTCGTCCAACTGCGCATGCTCCAAGATGCGTTTCTTTTTATCCGAAAGGATTTCAAACTTTTTCACATGCTGCCTGCCTGTCATAATGTCATGCGTATACATGTGCGTATACGCGTGTGTGTGGCTGCAATCGATCATGGATCAGTCCAGAGAAGATGATGCCCTTCGTCGTCGAAGAGAGAGGTAAAGGGAACATCGTGCCCGTGAGACTCCTGAGCAGAGAGAGGCTCGTCTGTATCAGCGTCGCTTGCGTGATAGGGAACGCGCTTATTACGCTGCCTAGCTGTCATATCGATGCGAAATCTAGCCAGCGAAAGAACGTTCGTCTATTCGCTGGCATGCGCTGCACTCTTCGATACCTGACCGAGGCTGTATATACCTCTTTCCAATGTTCGTGGTTCTAAGGTTCAAGTTGTAAATAGGCTCGTGCAGATACAGTCATTGTGTGCTCGCTCGCCAAAAATGCCATGCATTCGCCTACTAGTACGGGAAAGAAATGTGCTGCGTTACAATGACGCAATCTCTGCGCATGTCCGACCTCCTTAGCCCGGCCCGGCCTAGCTACTATAACTAGCGCCCCTATGCCTGGTGATAAAGCTGTAGGCGGGCACACGATCGATGCAGTTCAAGGTTCATTCGGGCAATCACGCGCATGCGCAGTGAGGTTTCGTGTCTGCCGCTCGCTAGCTGTGCGTGTGTTTCAACAGATCGAGGCAAGTGAAGTGGGTAAGAGGGGGAAGGGCAGTGAAATGGAAGGAGGAGGGAGGGGAGAAATGCGGGAGGACTATACTTACACCGAATGCTCTTAGCGAGCGAATGCACAGTTGTGTGCGGTTAAATTACGTAAGTATGTGCAGTGCTCCTTTATTTACAAAGCCCCTCTACCTACAAATAAGGTACACGAGATTGCTAATGGAGAATCCGAGCCTTTCACCATCTGTCCGGTGGGTGCTGCTGTCTCTACCGAATGAACTACTGGAGCAGATCCTTCTCTCTCCCTCACTTTGCGTGCCTGATCTCTGCCGTGTACGGCGAGTGTGTTGGCATCTCAGGAACGTAGTGGACCGCCTATGGACCGAGGTGGCCATGTCCAGGTTAGCACCCTGGCAGGCAGAAGGTGGAGATGTCACTGTTTCCTTGTTATTTCATTTAAGACTAAGTTTTGAGTCACAAAATTTTGTTGTTGGTTACCCAATGCATGTGAAAACTATGAGGTAGAAAGACAAAGGCACAACAAACAAATCACCTACACCCAGGACAGCGCTTTTTTTCAAGGAAAAATAAAGAGCTGCCCTAGGTGGGATTCGAACCCACGACACTCTGCAGTCTAGGCGAGCGCTCTACCAACTGAGCTACCAGGACAACTCAGCTGGTAGGGGTTCGAATCTACAACACAATACAACACAAGGCAAACCTCAAACCACTGTGCTATGGCACAGTATACATGCATGTATGTCATAGGATAGGAACATTGGTTATGATCTAAGAACAATGGAAAATGCTAACCAGCAGATGTCGTTATTCAAAGCTTAGTCTTAGATGAAGAACCAACCCACTGTTTTATGCCCCTACTAGATGGAGAGGGTGGGGCTCAATCTCAGGCTCCACCCACTGGGAGTGGTACAGTCTGTGCTGCCAGAGGTACCAGTGTGAATGCCAACTCACTTCTGTATTTGACCGCCTCAGTCACCGCTGCTACAAGGTTTATAGTGCAACTCACTAAGGACGGCTCAGTAATACCCTTATATAGCTGTATTTTACAGATGAAGATGAGCTGGAAATCTTTTCCACCGTCTTGCAGAAGAAAGCGTTCTCCCCTGATGTTCTACTGTGTGTCTTGTCGGATGTACTACAGACTCCACCAGAGTAAGTTCAGAGTTGCTCCTATGCATAAAGAGATCACAATTACGTAAACTCTCACACAGTGCAGCAAACCTGACACAACAGTTTTATGCACTGCATGGTAAGGAGTACCTTATTCGCCAGCAGCTCATTTCAGAATGGAGAGAGCTTTTACAATTACCTGACCAGGAGCAAACACTGGAGAAAGGTATTATACATAACAGTCCCTGACCAGCGGGAGTGTGTGTTAGTCAGTAATAATCCTAGTGATGTTAAAATTTGCCAGGTGAAGTTTTACTATTTTTCTTCACTCTGCTATATAATATTATTATTAGGAGACCATTCAACCCCCATGATACCTTTGCCTGTGCATTCTTCACTGCAAAGCGCATGAGCCAAGTTTATCACTAAGTATGGTAGTACTTAGTTAGGAATGGGAATGGTACCATGCGTTTAATTCCAGGTGCGATTCTGATTGCTCAGTGGATGAGACCTTGCCACTGCCCTGGATCCTCTGACATTGCCCTGCAACTGGACTCTATTGCTGAGATGGTGGCCGTGCACCTGGTGGGTGGTGCCACACATGAGGAGGGGGAGGTGAGAGACACAAAGAGGGTCAGACGGAGTGCCCTAGCCAGGGTGAAGGAGGAGGGTTGTCACTCAGTGGACGAAAGACTGGCCGCTATCAATTCAGTGATGTATGATCAGCTCGGATATAAGGGAGCAGGCGAGGCCTACTATGAATTGGACAACTCTTTCATTGACCGAGTGAGTAAAGCTGTGGACTATGTAGAATATTACAGTGGAAACTCTTTTAGCGGACACTCCGAATAGCGGATACCTACCGTATAACGGACAGTGCGCTATGTACCAACTGCTTTTCCCGTAGATACTATACTTTGAAAACCTCCGAATAGCGGACACTTTTCTGGTACCGAAGCACTCACTAAAACCTTTATAATGGACACTCTAACTAGTGCACACCTTCCTTAGATATGTGCCAGCCCCGCCCACGTCTAAACAAGCGCGAGTTCTCAAGTAGCGAAGAGTCTGCTGCAAATCTAGCATCTCAACCAGTTCATTTGCCTTCGCTTCAACTTTATACAGCAGAGTTTGACTCCTTTATTAGAGGATATCATGTTATGGACTCCTGTAGTAGGAGAACTGTTTCTAGTTTGAAACAGAGCACTCTGGATCATTTCATAATGAATCATTGGTGCTGTATAAGTGCATAAAATGACAGTTCTGACACGAACCTCCTAATTAGGGACAACCTCCGAATAAGGGACAGCGGCATGTGTACCAAGGTCTCCCTTATTAAGAGGTTCCACTGTAGTTAACCCTCGGCGCGCATGCGCAGCAAGGGTTACAATAGTTGTTCTGTCTGTCTGTCAGTGTGTCTCTGTGTCTGTCTGTCTGTTGACGCTTATTCTGGCACTGCAGGCTACAAGGCTGCCTATTAGCAATACCAGCCGCTTCAGAACTACGCGAGCCTGAAAAATGAATGGGCGATTTTCCTGAAACGACTGCGTTTGAGAGATATGTCATAAAAACTAGCAAAAATGCCAATATGCATAATCACGCTGGCTTACCTCAAATTGGTCGGCCTACTCCGCGTACCTTGGAGGCATAAGAAGTCACAACAGAGGGCGTGTATGGACTCCCGCATGCTGTAATAGTTAATAGTTGCTAATCAATCAAGGCCACTGATCTTTGTGCATAGAATATGGGGTGGGTGTACTTCAGAAGTCCTTACACACCTTCATTTAGCCACCTAAAAAGATTTTTACAAACTCATATAAAGTAGTCTGTTTTTATAATATGCCAGGTGCACTTGTTTTTCTCACTCTTTTGTTTAGGTGTTGGAGAGGAGAACGGGTATTCCCATCACACTGTGTGTGATATACGAGGCCGTTGCCAGAAGGTTGGGAGTCCATCTTCATCCCGTGAGTCTTGCTTCAAATCTTAAATACTTTCATTTTTGTCAGCTGTCTGTACTACACCCCAACAGGTGAACTTTCCTCAACATTTTGTCCTTCAAATTACACGTGGAAAGTGAGTTTGTTGCAGTAAAGTAGTGGTGTATACTGAGTGCTACGTTACTGTCTTCAGGAATGGGCCAAGACCACATCCTGATCACTGTGTAATTGATGCATACTTTCGAGGCCAACGACTAACCCTTAATGAACTTAACTCTCGCACATTTGGTAGAGCAGGTGTCCCTAGAGTCACCGTACCAGCACAACCTGTGGACGTGTTTGCACGGTTCCTGAACAACATCTCCCTCCTCGTGAACAGAATGAACATTGAGCGAGTCATTCACGCAGCTTCTGGACAATGGTGGGTGTTTCACTGGCTTATCTTGCTTACCGCCTCCTCTTTTTCCCTTATCCTTTGTCCTTGCTTCTTCTTACTCCTCATACCACTGTGTTACTCAGTACTCCTCATCCTTTACTCTCACCCTTTCTTGCTTCATCTTGTACACGCTGCAGGTTGCCCATTCCTCTGCTCTCATATCTCTATCTCCGAACTTCACTTATGCGTCTCGAGAACAATTCATTCATTGCCGTACACCAGAGGCAACATGATATTTCCACATGCATCGAACTGCAGTACAACCCTAGACAGGTACATGGTACACCACCCCCTTATGTGCATGGCTCCTCTTTTAGAGGACTTGCTGGATTTGTTACTATTGCAGTGACTCTAAACTACAGCATCACTGACTTTGTTAACAATAGACCAGTTGTGAGAGACATGAAAAAACAGGACACAGAATTTTGCCAGTTTACATTGGGCAGTGTATTGTTCATCTTTGCTTTAAAATCTTATGATCTTTTCTTGTACAGTCATGTAACCTGCTAAATTTTTTGGTTTTGTCTCTCAAGGTGTTGAGTGTTGTGGAACCAGCAACTCCCTGTACTAGTCCCCAGGAGGTCTTGTACCCTGTAATATTTCCCATAAAACTAAGGGGAATGGTGGCAGTGAGGGAGGCCAGGATGGGAAAAGCCCCAGAGCAGAAGAGACATTCCATTACCACCAACGTCAAGTTCAGCGTAGGAATGGTCATGAAGCATAAAAGGTGACCAGCATGGGACCAAAGTTTTTTTTTCACACCCCTCTATAAAGTTTGTTGCCACCCTTGTGTACATGTTTATGTGATGAAATCCCTGGGTGAATTAAGCTGTTTGTACCCCTCCGTGCACATGTGCAGCAAGGGTTACAGTACTTGGTTTGTGTGTGTCCACTCTTATGCTGGCAATGCAGGCTAGGAGGTCTATGATCGATACCAGCCGCTTCAGAAGTACTAGAGCATTAAAAATGAAAAAGCACTAAAGTGAGCCTGGCACGGGCTGTTATAGCAGTAGATAGCATGCGAGAGTCGATACACGCCCTTTGTTGTGACTTCTTGTGCCTTCAAGATACACAGAGCAAGCGAACCCGCTTGAGGTAAGCCTGTTCTAATTAGCGTATTGGCTTTTTGGTTCGTGTTTCACGCCGTAACTCCCAAACGCAGCAGTTTCAAAGAAAACCCCACATAAATTTCGACCTATACCCGACGCTGAATATGTAGTATTATTTGTGGAGCAATTGGTGGCTTGTGAAGTGCGATGTAAGGTAACAGACTGACAGACTGACACACACGACAACTACAGTAACCCTCGCTGCGCATGCGCACCGAGGGTTAATTAAAGGCAATTTTCCTGAAACACTGTTCAAAAGATCTGGCGTGAAAACAAGCAAAAAAGTCTCCATGCATAAGTTTCACTGGTTACCATAAGTTACTCGAGATATGAGAATCCAGTCCAGCAGCCCATCAATTGAAGGTGCTTTATGCACATGCATATTGTGCACATCAACGCTCAAAACACACACGCCCGTTTTTTTCTTTGCGTCGTTTTTCGCGTGCTGCATGCATGACTAGATGAATCTCCAACAAGTGTAGACAGGTGTATGTATTTGCCAAGAAAAGGACACGGGGCAGGATGACACTGGCGATGCCATAGCTAGTAGGGTCGTGAGAAGCGGCGCGAACCTACAAACTCCTGCAAAGGCTTGCAAAAGTATGAAAGTAACTGGCTCTCGACCAGGGCGTCTCTAATCCCGAAGCTTGGAAGGTGTATAGCCAACACAGCGGTAGTGAAAAATCGTCCATGAACGTGTGAAAACGGAACAAAGCAAAACGGAATGGCACAGCGAAAAAAGGACCGGGAGTCGAAACGGACTCCCGTTCCGTTCCTGTTTTCCTTCCGTTTTTTTTTTTTTTTTTTTTCAAAACAGTCACCCGTTGAACGGCCGTTCTACGGAAAGGAAACACGTACTTTTTAATGACGCCTACTGTAATGTGTATGTAATGAAATCCACGTATTATGTATGCAGGTATAATTACCGATGTGTCATCTATGGATGGGATGAGAAGTGCGTGCAGAGTGAGGACTGGATAGCCCAGATGAGGGTAGACCAACACCCTCCCGGCAGACACCAGCCATTCTACAATGTCCTGGCTCACGACGGAAGCAACAGATATGCAGCTCAAGGTTAACCAGTAAATGGCAGGCCAGTTTAACATGATAGCACATACAAGCACCAATGAGGCCGTGATACAAAGATGGAGCAAACAAGTCAACTATACCCAGGACAATTCTAAAAGAAGAGCTGCCAGGATTAGAACCCACGACACTCTGCTGTCAATCTTACCCACTGAGCAATGGCAAACCTCACTATGGTACAGTAAATTCTCACTTAAAACGAATGTGGCAGTATATAAGGGCTAAATTTAGACATTTTACTAAAGATAGAACAAAACAGTAGGGCACAGTGAAAGAATTCAATTAAGTTCCGTTTTTAGTAACTAAATTTAGCCCTTAGACCTAGATCCTCACGGCACGACAAAGCAACATGTTTATTATTGTGAACCTAGCCTTATGTCCGCATACACCAGTTTTATCCCTTGCAATTTGCCAGTATTCTTTTAAGTGCAACTCAAAACCAGGTGAGAGGTTCAATTTTACGCTGCTATGTATATACTCGCATGCTCGTAATATTTTTATAGTGAGCCTAATGGAGTGTCCATCAGATGAGATGGGACCTATCCCCCACTGGGAAGTAAGCACTGAAACAGAATTGCTGCCATTCCCACTAGCTATTGGGTAATTTTCACTTGCCCATAGGTTGGAAAGTATTTCACTCGATTCACTGGCAAGAATTACATTCCAAATGCACCTCTCAAGGAAGTATACCCTGATGATCCCTGAACAACAAGTTTTTGGTGACCAAAGTGAGCCCACCTACATAGTCATCTGAATTGTGCATATGTAGACAGCACTATCCATACTATCTAATTGCATTGTATCACCGAGCACTCACATTTGCTCATTAGTAATGTATTGCTATACTTTTGTCACTTCAGCTGTAGTTTATCACCAAGAATCATCTTTTTAATGAAAAGGGTATTGAACTGGCAAATATATATTTTCAGTGCAGATGAGGCTCATAGCTAATTGGCGAGCGAAGCAAGCCCACATAGGTGTCTGAATGCAGAATGTAACGACCAACGGACCAACATACTGTAATCTTTACGTGATTCTATATACATGCTAAACATGCACAAACATATTGAAATGCTCGCACTGTGTTGTACATGATTCTAAATACGCGCAAAAGGCACGCGAAATTTTGAACTGCTCGTACTCGCTCGCCAAACCATGCGTTACAATTCGTTCCTCTAGTTATTTTCTTTCTGAAGTGTGCAACTATATAACATAACAATGGTTTCCTTAGCAAAGGTTATGAGTTCTGCAAGAATGTCTAGAGAACGAATACTTTAACGTAGCGCTTCCGAAAGCGAGGAAGCCTGGAAGTGACGACTAGCGAGAGACAGAACCCTGGGCAATGAGGTATCAAAATGGTTTGAAGAATCATGACTTCCACCATACGAAACATGAAATTGCAACTGTAGCTATATTATTTAGCTATGTGTCTTATTGATGCTGCACGCGTATGCATTCACCAGATTTTAACATTTTATCATGTGCTCTACCTGCTGCTTTGTTGTCCGACCCTTTGTGATGGATCCCGAGCCACCAACTACCGCTGGCCAGAGCTCAAGTGAGGAGTGACGACTAGCAAGACACAGAGCTCACAGGAGGCACCGTCTCACATCCGAGACAGGAGAAGAGAGAGACTCGCCTTTGTCGATTGCCGTGCCCGGCTGGCCTGAGATGCATGGACACAGAGAACTTCGTCTACAACAAATTTGTGTCATTTGGCAGCAGTGACTTTGCCTATGTAGCATTGCACGTCCGTAGACTCACCAATACATTCGTCTACTGTGTCATGTGGTGCACCGATAAACTAAAAGGTTCATGCACCTGAGGTTTTGTTGTGGGCTCGCTCCCGCCTGCCAAAGTTGTGCATGTACAAGTGGGATAGCTCAAAGCACCAAATTAAAGGGTAGTTACCACACAAAACCCAATGATACCATCCCTACATCTTTATTTTGTATAGAGTCATAGGAGAAAGACAAAAAATATGGTGTCATGACATTCACTTCTAGTTTTTTAATAAGGTCATGAAATTTCTTTGAAACTGCTTTTTATATGATTACAAGGTTTGAACTGATTGAAAATCATGTGGAAAATTTTTTGCTTTTCATTATGGTTAAGAAATGATTTTTCCACAGTGTTTCATTAGGTCATAACTAGTAGTGATTGGTAACCACCCCTTGTTCCTTTCCTTTGAACCATCCCTGTTTCCCACTTCATTTTAGCATGCAACCACACTCACCCAAAACTGCTCAGTACCTCATGGAGTTGAAAACACGACCAGCTACTTATTGTTCTCATGTTCATAGTGATCAGTGATCTACAAACACAATGATGTAAGACTCAAATAATTTTGATACTGCCTTGCTGAGCGTCTGATTGCGAAGAACCATGAAGCCTTACTGATCGTGGAATACCTTTAGAAGCTTTGTACACCCAAAGATGACTTTCAACTTCTGAAAGGGAGTTTGTCCCAGAAAGCCCAGTACAAGAGAGTATAGGCACGAGAAAAGGACGGTTTCCCTTGTCTAGTAAGCCGTAAGCCTTATATATACTATGCATAGGGAGCATACAGCTGTACTAAGGGAGTTTTGGTAAACCACTGCATGTGAACATCAAAGGATTCATTGGAGGTATGAGGAAAGCATGTTTGACTTGAGATACTTTCTTAGGACTACTCACTGTAGATGAATGAACTGGCACTGGACCATTGACTGCAGAGCAAGAGCGCATGTAAATTTTATTGATTGCATGTGAGATGCACATAAAGAACACAGGCTCTGAAGGTAATCTCAAGGGATAGCTAGTCTGCAGTGAGAGTCAAGTTGTTGCTGGGATAACATATCTGCATAATACACAGCAGGTATCAGACCAGTCTGCTCTTTGATCATTGTGCATAATTAAAAAAAAGCTAAATAGGCCATTGTCAATTGCAACAAAACTGTAGCACATGGCACGTGCTGCTTGTGTAGCCAGCACCTTTGCTTACCGCTTACTGTTGCCCCTGGAGGCACCGGTGGGGTCCATTCCTGAAACCATACTATAGTGGGTCTACAGCACAGAGTCTAGTTTTTGTGTAGTGTCCCATGCTATGAGGAAGGAAAGCAGGATCATAAGCAAGTATTAGGGGTTCCTAGCTGACCACTTTGAATTTTCTGTAGTGAATGCCAAGAAACACTCAGGTACCTCTTATAAAATCACACTATTTATAACTGAGGTCGAAAAGTGTTTTCATTACAGTAAGTTATGAAGTATCATCTAGCCTTCTTAATGAGAAGTACATTGTTCATGTGACTAACATGAGAGATTGATTTTCTAAGATGACTCAGGCACATTGGCCGTATGTGAAAAGGACTACCAACAAAGCTACTATTTGGGGAGCTGGAAAAGTAAGAGACCCAGTCATGGAGGTGGCACGATGGGGTAAAGTCTGACATGCAAGCCACTGTAATCGGTGAGGGTATGGTATGGTTTTGCACAGAAGGTGTTACGAGTCAGCGTAGGGAGGCCAATGATTGTGCATCTGACAGTAGACAGAGGCAATAATCAGCTCTTTCATTCTGTTCGCGCCAGTAAACACCGTAACTTCTGTAGTACTGCTTGGGTAGCCTAGTTCTCTCTGTTATTTGCCCGAGGCATGGCTCAAAGAGACTCATTACCATGAATCCGCAGACATTACAAGAAAACATGCCTCTGGGGTTTACAAAAACCCACGCAGGTGAAATGGCATGGAGTTTAATATAACCTTTCCTGCAGTGTTTCTTGGTGGTCTACCAACTCTGGAGAGGTCTGAATGTCTAGAAGTCAAGTATGATGACTCCTCCCAAGCACAAAATGTTCTCCGTCAAGCAGCTAGTCTTTCGGCCAACTACAATCTCTTGCACCACATGCATTCCCCATTTAACCGTGTACATTTTGAATGAAATTTCAAAATCCGTATGGATCTAAACCTTTTTTGAGCGGCCATGGTTTCTCTATTTTGAGGTCGGAACGTGTCTAGAACTGTAGAGGAGAGTCTAAAGAAAAATTATGTTGGATATTAATTACTGGTTTGTGAGTATCGTGTCCCTGCCTCTCCAATTCCATCTCACAATATAGAAGCGCTGGTGCGCTATCTTGTCAAAGGCAGCGGTCAACCAGTTAGAATTTTTTCATGGTCAGAGTGACCATAATATCAGATAGTCAGAGCTTTAGAAAAAATAATGGAAACAAGTGGCAAAATCATAACTTCAGGAGGATAGAGGGATTGCTCACAACATAAAAAAAGAAACAAGGGGTCATTACAGTGCAGCTAAGCTAAATGACACCATCCCTATATCTTTGTTTTATTGATAATAATACCAGACAAAGATATATAATTATTATAGCGATGGTGTTATTTAGCTTTGTACATCAAAGCTGTGTAATGATCTTACTTTTCATGTTTTGAGTCATCCCTATATCCCCCTTTGAAGAAATGATATTTCCACTTGTATAATAGGGTGATTCATCAAATGTGTGCACACAACACAGTCTGGTACCACTCTGTGTTGCTCTTTGTTGTAGTGCTCTCCACAAGGGTATACACCATTAACCCTGAAGCCATCATTCTACGGAGGAAAACGAGGGTGTGCATCTACGTACCATGGTTTCATAGCAAAAGGTAAGGGAAATGTACACCGTAAACCCCAGAAGGCTTTGATGTGATGACATAAGAGTGCATCTAAATTATTGTGGTAGACCGAGTGTCTCTGGGTGTACCAATATTAGACCATCCTGTACAGTGAAATATGCATGCTCCAGCTGGCATTGGTGGAGGCATCGAAGGAAACGATGAGGAAATGTACACCACAACTCCTTTTTCATCACAAGAGCGTCTTTAATCACAGTAAACTACATTTCAAGGGGTAGAGGAAGCAATAGGGAAATGTACACCACAACCCCCCAAGGCGATGACACTGCATCTAAGTTATTAAGTTATTCTGGTGGGTGAATGTCTGGATGGATGCAGTGAAATACAAATAATGTCCCAGCTGTGTATAGCATTGGTGGACACATTGAAGGAAACGATGAGGAAATGTACACCGCAAATTCTTTTTCATGATGTTATAATGTAGGGAATCCCATCGTTAAAGGTATCGTGGTTGGAAAAATGTCTCCTGATGTATGACCATAGGTTTGAAAGAGAGTAGAGTTCAGTATAAATTTGGAGCCGGATGACAAACTGAGCACTTCTAACTTGGTTTTGGACCAGAGGGGATATCGCCGCTGCCAGAAGTAAAACATGATTTCTGCATCATTTTGCTTTGCACTCATCCTATGTACCCTGCTGCCAACAACAACTGCCAGTCTGTAAGTAACTGTAGTAATAATGTGTGTTGGATTAATTATCATTATTATGTCTCATAATTATAGTCCAGAGCCGTATCTGCTTTTCTCCACATGGTTTACTGTTTCTCGTATGAATCTGGATGGCTCTGGCTATACTGAACTTGTGAGTGGAAGTGTTGGTGCACAAGCTGTGGATTACCATTTGGGGTAAGTGCTGTAGAAACTGTTCAACTGTAGTATATTTCCTATTCTCTTCAGAAAGGATAAGCTCTTCTGGACAGACTATATTGCTGATACCATACGCCAGGCAAATTTGGATGGCTCAAACCATATGGATATTGTACTCAATGTCAATAGACCTAGTAAGTCTTTAATACAGAGGCACCCACTTTAAATTAATTTACATGACATAATTAGGTGGATTGGCAGTAGATTGGATCAATGATAAGGTTTATTTCTCATACGGTGATACTGGCTCCAACTTAGTCGACCCAAACCATCTGGCCATCTATAACATGGCTACTGGAGTGCACATTGAGATCACACCTGCAACACCTCATGCCAGGTTCCACGACCTTGCAGTGGATCCGATTGGCCAGTGAGTTATAGATCACTATGAACATGCAAACACACATGTACAGACAGGTAATTCAACCCTTTATCTTTGCAGAAAGTTGTACTGGACATCAGGAAATAAACTGCTTCAGTCCACACTCTCTGGAGATAATATTATGGTACTGTACTCCAGCTCCTGCTTCCTTCGCTACATCCATCTCAACACCAAACTCTACTGGACTCAAGAGGGCTGCTCTTCCGAGGGTGTTCGTTCTCTCGACCTCCCTACTCTACAAGTCAGTGTCATTGAGGACAGTCTTGGTTACTACAATGATGTCGCCGTCTATGGAGACACTGCCTACTGGACTGGACTAGCAAGAGTCCACTCCTCTGAAATCAGTGGAAGTGGTCCTGTGAACGAGCTACTGTTTATCTCCAGCTATGGCGGAGCTTTATTTAGAGGAATATCAGTTGTGCATCCTGACTTACAGAAAAAGCACTGAGAACAGTGATGCAAGAACAGTTATTAGATTAGTGTGTGTGTTTTAAGGCTAGGCTTGAATGCCGCAAACAGTTAATAGTCACTGAACAATCATGTCAGTGAAAGGTAATGGTATATTCATATAATTGTATACTTTGGAGGCGCAAGAAGTCAAAACGGAGGGCGTTCGTTTATCAACTGCGAGTTTGGGACCACTTTTCTGTTTTAGGTTAACACTGCACATGTCGAGCCAGTGCTTTGACTTTGGTGGCCACTCCCAATTGCAGCTTAATAAGGCTTCATAGTTGTCTTGATTCTTAGTTTGTATAAACCACAGCTTCATGTGTCTGACTAATTGGGATAAGTCTTGAGTAAGGCTACATTCTTTGGTGACCATATCTGCAGCCTTTCGATGAAAACTGAACAAGTTCACGCTATATAGCTAGCTACATACGTAGAAAGAAAAAGAGAAAGAAAACAGGACTTTAGAAGGGCTACATTTAACACACATAACCATAAGGGCTTACTTGGGACTTGCAAAAATACGTGAGCTGATGCATGGTGGCATAGACGGTATAGACTCAGGCGGTATAAATTATCAAATGTATCTGCGATATTTATAATACAGTAGGTATAAAAGATTACAAAAATAACATCCATATGGACACCAGCAGCACATAAATAACATAATAATTATGGAGGTAAAACACTAGTGTAGGGCAGCTGTTAGAGAGGTCAGCTAGCGTGACCTAGGCATAAAAGGGTGCCCCGGCCCTTAGAACCAAGGATGGAGTCTTTTATTACCAGTGAACTCTCCCCACTCACCCGAACGATGTCAATACAATAACTAGAGCTACAGACATTTCAATGTAGAACAAATCTCAATTGCTTATGCTTTGTATTTTATATTTTACGCAGGATACAGGAAATCCTATCAGGTATATCCAAGCTATGCTGTGCGAGCATTTGAATATAAGCGCAAATGTTTAAGTGAGTGTCGATAATCAGTAGTATTTTTAGAGAGAGTTATCACCTCCATGTGATTTTTCATTCACAGGCAAAATTTACACACTATTTTACCTATTGCATGCTGCTTTTGTAGTTAGGGCGTGTAACACACACCCAGGCATTGTTGTGGACCATACCCACTTGCTTTTCTCTTTCTTCGGCACTTACCGACTGACCCACATTGACGACAGTTTCCAATACAAACTATCTTGCTCCAGACTACTACACTTACGCGCCTGCTGTAAAGATAATGCTTTTTGCTCTTTCGATCACTTCTGCTACTAGCAGCACTTATAATGTCCCAAATGACGTACTGTCAACAGCTTTTTCGATTACTTCTGCTGTAATAAACGGACGATGTCCCAGTGGACACAGGAGGAACATTATCAAACTTAGCCCTAAAAAACGAGGATGTCCGAGTGGAAAATACGCGGGTAATTGCGTTTATTGTGAAGTGGTCCTGTAGCTAAGCGCTATGTTTCATAAACGGGAGTTCACTTGTTCGAAACCATCTTGCAATGGTTTTCACCCGTATTACTGTACGGGTGATTGCTGGACTTGTTGTTGCTTCTCCTCCTCCTCCTGAAGAATGACGTTGGAGTTGAGGAGTTCAGGCGTGAACTGCACTGACTCGAGAGCTGAATATCACCGACAGCACACATAATGTTTTCAATCACCAACATCAAAATCACAACTGAACAGCACATGTTTGTAAACAACATGTTTGTGCCTCAGGCAATTTCTTCAAATTTACTTCTTCACTCTTCAAACTTTCTAATGGTAGCATGCATAGAGGTGAAACTTGGTACGCATGCGTATTACATCAGTACATTACAACTACATGTTTCCATGACAACCACATATTGTTTGAACAACGACAAATAGTCTTTTTCTTTAAAATTACTTCTTTACCCTTCAAACTTTCTAAACTTGGTACGCATGTGTATTACATTGTTTCCATGACAACCTCAAAAACAACAAATAGTCTCAGGCACTTTTCTTTAAAAACTCCTCTAACTTGTTAACGGTAGCACGCACAGAGATGAAACTTGGTACCCATGTGTAATACATCGTTTCCATGACGACCACATTATTTGAACAACGAAAATGGCCTCAGGCATTTACTTCTTCACTCGCTAACAGTAGCACTCATGGAGATGAAACTTGGTATGCATGCATAAGACATCGTTTCCATGACGACCACATATTGTAAAAGCATGCGTTATATCTTTCTCTATTTGTTAATTTTTGTAGGGGGCTTGTCCCCTTTCACAGCATGTAGTAGTAGAAATGACTGGAGACAAGTAAATTAGAAATCCTGTGAATTTGTAAAAGCGGTATAAAAGAAGGCATGTGACCAAGTGAAAGGAGCTCATTTGCTGAAAGTCACATGACCAGCACTACATATAATCATAGTATGCACTCCCCTCTATGCATGAGCTACACATGATTCTGTTAGCACAGCTGTTGCAATCTCTTATTGAGAGGTTTTCTATTGAGCCCTGCTATCAACATAATGAGTGTGGAGAATCTGTTTAACCAAAGGTGCGTAGAATAGATCTAGAGTGGCCCTGTAGTTGACATCTTTATGCCGCTAACATCAAATGCAAACCCTTAGCGTAGAAGTAGAACCAGTGCTATTACTGGAGCGATAATTTAACCCTCGGCGCGCATGCGCAGCGAGGGTTACGGTACTTGGTGGTCTGTCTGTGTCTGTCTGTATACTGGTCTGGCGTTCGTCGTCAATTGTCTCTCTTACTGTCCAGAATGCCAATTGCCTATTCATGGGTGGGCCCTTCTTTTTTCTTTGCTTTTCAAAGAAAGTCCCGGAAACAAGCTCCATCTGTATGTCTTGAGCAAATTTCCTATTTACAGGGAATATTTTATTGATATCTTCAGCATGCCTTTGTTCTGTGTTATAACTCGATACAATAAAGCAATGTCTTACGGAGAATGAAATTGGCTGGCATGTTCGGGTATATAGTTTGGGGAGATACGTAATTCTGTCGCACTGGGTCTTCCCATTTGTAACTTCGCAAAACGCTCTCTCTGACATTGTGGACCACTCTTTTAATGGAATATTCTCACCGGCACAACCAGATGGAGCAACGTAGTATTTTTTCTGTGTCTGTGCCCTTTCATATGCATATCTTACATCTGTGATCCCACATCTGTCTGCCATTTGTTTATAAGCAAAATACTCATCTGAAATATTTGTATCTGGTCCTCCAAACAAGGATATATGGCTTGTCAACTTATAATTCTGTACAGTGCTTTTAAACTGATTGGCCGAATGCATTTGCTCTATATACTCTCGGGTTTGTCCCGGCCCAAAGCCCTGTGCCACAGCTGATGAAGGCGCAGGTGGATGGGTTGCACCCCACAAACGTGAAAGGAGCTCTACATAACACCTTGCAAAACCTTGTTCAAATTCTGTGTTATCTGGACTGTTAAAAAAACTCTCTTCACTTGCAAAACTTGCTTTTTGTTCGTATTTTTCTCTCTCTGCCTGGTCTAGTGGAAACATGTTGAATGCGTGATAGACTGTAGCTCCTCTTTCAGCAACTTTGGCATCAGGTTCTGTTTGAACCAACTTAAACCCCATGTGAGAGATGTCTCCTGCTTGATTAGGGCTGTACATATAAACACGTGTCCCAAAGTGATACTGATTTCCATCAGGATCATACCCCCACCTTGTCAGAACAAGGACTACCGGACGACTGTGCAGGTATTCATTTTGTAAAAGAAGATATTCTGCTGCAAAAATGGGTAGTATTGGCTGTTTATAAACTCCATAGCGCATTTTTATTTGACTCTCATTAAGCAACCTGCTTATCTGGCCTATGACAGGAGCTCGATTGCCTAACCTTGTCGCCTGAAAGGCGGCTATTTTTCGCATGTAATCGACGCTATACTGAGCCGCTGCTGACCTCCATTTGTTAACCTTGTCAGTGGGGTATGTCAGCTTTTCAGGTCTATCGTCAATAATGAAACGCAAGCTGTCTTCTGCTCTCTGTCGTGTAACACTAAGTGGGTAGCATAAAGAAAAATAATGTTCCGGCATAGTACCTTCTTTAGGCAATGATCCTTTCTTTGATCCTGTATCAGCTGGAAGCATATTGAATTCAGGGCCATACATAGCAATGAAACCCGGGATTAAACTCTCTGGTTCAAAACCTGACATTTCAAGAATATCCATTGCATCTAGAATAAATGGCACTCGCATCTCACAGGATGCATCTCCAGTAACAGGATCTAGCTGGCGAAAATTTCCAGCAAAAACAGCTCGAAAGGTTTTCTCTGGATCTGCTATACTCTTTTTTGGGGGGTTTTCTTTCCGTTCTTTCTGCAGGTTTGCATCTCTTACTCCTTCCTTGGGTACTTTCATAGCATCCTGTAGACACTTTTCGGGGTTTTCCTTTCCGAAATGTCTTTCTGCTGTTGCTCCTTTCTGCTCATGTGCCATATCAGCCATATCAGCTATCTGCAAGAAAGATATAACACTGTGAATGAGCCTCTTTGAGGCTATGTCATACATTTTAGCCTTGTGAAGCAATGCCTGAGATTTTAATATCTTAGTAGAGTAAGCCACCGATAATCGGACGCCATGTATTCTCGGACGCATTTGTGAAGTCTGTGCAGGACTAGATTGGCTACTGTGTATACCAAAGTGTAGTTCTTGGTCATAAACTGTTGTATAAAAATATTCGCTCTTATCCGAGCTTTACCGTGGGAATGACGTTG